TTATGGACAAGGTCACCATGGAAAAGAACAAGGTCAGAACTGCGAGCCTTGTCTCAAAAATGCTCGCTATCATTTGCATTGATGTTTCGTAACAATATATAACATTGCGTCCGATTGCTTGAGCTTGCAGCTGGATCAATATACACATCCAAACAAAATAGTTCCAAATCGATCGACATCAATGGATTGAAGGTGCTCGGAGTTCTTGCCTCTCGAGACCACGTACAAGTGACTTAGATGTACTTCAGATGTGTCATCATGACTGTGTATTGGATGTACATGCGATTGCACTCATGAATGCACGGAAAAGTTCTGTGGTGTGTCAACACCGCTGGTCAGTGTATGGAATGAGGCATTTGCTGAAGGAGTCCAAGGCCAAGGGTGGCAAGGGTTCCAAGAAGAAGCGTGAGAAGGGAGGGAAGACCAAGGGTACCAAGAGTGCCAAGGCAAAGGCCAAGGCAAAAGGTGCTCCCAAAAAGGGAGCTCCCACTGAGAAAACTCCGCCCAAGCGAGTCAGGGGCAAAGCGCCTCCAGCTCCTTCCCGCGAGGATGCTTCTGTGCCAGGGCCAAAGCGCCTCAGAAAGCGGGCGAAGGGGCTGAAGAATGCCGATGCCTGAACACCCATGGCAGGAGTGGCAAAAGGTTTCATATATCGCTCAAAAATAAACTCAGTTTGTTTCAGGTACATGACTGCATACCAAACCAAAGAACCTTCTTTCACTGCCACGTTGCCTGGGTATAGCGATATTGTGGGGATCTGAGGACTTATACTCGTGTGGCGAACCACACGTGTATGGTAGAAACCTCGGAAATGGTTGGATTTGATGCAATTCAATTTGGGGAAGTTATCATCATCTGCTGGAGCCCAGTGACAACATTCTGGTGCCCGTCCGAACTCTTGCATGGATGTGTGGCTTTAGCCACAACTCTGCGAGAAAAAAGCTGTGTGCTCGTCAGGGTTCAGTGTGAGCTTCTATATAGTTTGCATAAGCCTGCTTGGTTGCAAGTGCATTCGTTGGGTTGAGCAACCCCAATCATGCAACCCTGGGTTTTGTGATCCAGCCCCTTGCCCGGCTTCTTGCCAGGTCCTTCCCACAAGGCCTGGCAACTGGCTTGGAGATATGGGCGCGGAGATGCTTGGCATTCCATGGCTGCCCTGCTGGCCAAACATACCAACAGCCTAATTTAAGAACCTTTGTTGAAGATATGGTGGAACTTCTGCAATTTGTTTTGGAAGCTTGATTGAACTTCCATATCATCATGGTTTGAAGCGTGAGTGAGGGTGGACTGGTTTATATATATATATATTATATAGTTTGAGGACCTGGTAGCTATGCCTATGAAGATTCCCGGCTGCATTGCTTAGGATCCTTCCAGGGAGATTCTCAAGTTTGCTACTGCTTCGTGCCGAGATGATGATGAGGAGGGCCGATCGACCGGCCGCTGTCCAGTTTTGAGCGCCCTCGCCAACAAGAACCCTAAGAAGTCCGATCCTTCTCGCTATTTGATGGTTTGGTTTTCATGCATGCAACCCTACAGTCTTGGAGATGTTCACCTGTACTGGTTCCTTGGGATATTCGATATTTACATGAATAAAGCTCATGTTGCATGTGAATTGAGTTCATGATCTCGTACGGCCTTGCCATATGCAACGATTGCACATGCAGTGCCAATCGCTTGTCCTATAATTGCGCTTGCATTCCCCTGCCAACTCAACAAAACATATAAGGAAGAGTTGGTCTACAAAGTCTTCACCAAGTACAAGCTCCTATACCCTATCCCCATCACTGGTGCAAATGAAAGTCCCTTGAATGGACTTCCGTGGCTGAAGCCTGGTGACTCTTTGAGAGTGATGGCTGTACGGAACGACTTAGCGCATCTACTCGGAGGTTTCTCAACCATGGCTGAAGCAGAGCAAATGCTTGTTACTTTTTGGACCCGTTATAGAGCTGTCTTTCCACAGTTCCAGCTGTTCTCAGAAGTTCATGATGGCCGGAAACAATTGAAAGATTGCATTCCATTGTATATTCATGGAGACGAAGGTGTCACCTACAAGAAACGAGGAGTCCTTATCATGTCCTATCAATCACCACTGGGATTTGGAACTTCGAGGAGGCCCCAGGAAATGTCACTGAATTTGGAGAACATGGGTGAATCGGGCTTGCCTCTCAATTTTCTGAAATGTGGCATGTACACTCGGATCTTGATGGTCCTTTGCCCCAAGGCTGTGCAGTCCAAATATCTTGGTTTGGGGATGGGATGGGCTGGGTTGCATTGCTCCATATGTAGCACACTCCTGTCAAAGAACTTTTAACACATGCATGCGTGATAATTCATGCAACACACATGCGGCATACATGCAATGACCCTGTGAGGACATGTACAAAGATGATCCCCGAGTTTGGAACGCCATTATGAACAACATTGCTTCTGAATTTCAAGTTCTGGAACGGGACGGTGTAGAGCTTGAAAGGAATGGAAGAGTGTATCCAATTATTCTGGGCAACAAGGGCGATTGGAGCTATCTTGTAACTTGCCAGATGTTTCAATTCGATTTATACCCCATGGATTTGGGTTTGGGGTTCAGTGAGGTTTCTTCTCGTGTGTGTGTGTGTGCGCGCTCCTGTCACCATATGTCCAGGTATCGTCAGGAAACCTGGAGAGGTCTTACCGAAGAGCGCCAAAGGGTGCTGGGGAGGAGCGGGCAGCAGAAGGCGCTGGTATTTGCCATTTGTGCATGTGCGGGCAAGGAAGCATTGAATGGGAGAACCTGCTTCTTGGTGTGAATTGGCGGGTGGTTTGTGTGTGTGGGCCATTACATTTTGTACACCTTTTTGTGCCTTTCAAGTTCCATGGCAATGTTCGATACAGTTCAGGGCTGTATTCATATCCAGCCTACTGACTGGCAATCCACCTGGGTAAAAATATCTTGTCTTTATTGGCAGCCCTCGCTCTCCCTTCTTTTTGCATGCATAGATGCCCCAATGTATGTCAAGGCGTGCTGCTGAAGTGGCAATGAAGGCATCGCACCATGAAGAGATTGAGTTGCCCTGGACCAAGGAGAGTGTGTTCACGAAGAAACTTTATCATGACAGTTCCATCAATGGCCGACAAAGGTTCTATAAGTTCGATCTGTGGCATTGCTGGCATCTCGGGGCTGGAAAACATTGGTGTGGATGCGGACTGTTGCTGATATGTCAAGTTGTTCCCGGGAGCAATGCTGACCTTCGGTTCGCCTACGTCAGTCAAAAATATTTGGAATTTTGCAAGAACAGGAGACTGACAAGCTTCATCACGAAGATTGACCAGCACACTTGCAATGCAGCTGGGGGAGAGGGATCATGGAACAAAGCAGCTGTGACCAGCAACATGTGTTTATTCTTGGAGCATTTTTGTGAAGAACACCATGAGCTGATAGCGGGGAACCGTCGTTTGGAATATTTGGATGCTCTCATGCACTTGGATCAATTTTGACATTTACTTTGTAAGGTGCTTCTTTTTTCTGAAGCTATTGTTGCTGGCTTTCTTTAATGTGCGTAGGGTATCGTAGGGTAGTGAGCAGGTTTCTCAAAGCATATACATATGCAGTGTTATGACTGTTATGCTGATTTGTGTTGAAACTGTTGTTTATCTTTCAGAAACATGAAGCAAGATCAAATGACCATGCACCAACATCTTATAAGGCATTTGGCTGCAAAAAGATGAACGATGTGATGCGAAAGGTCTATGCTGGAGATGTTTGGCTGAGACGTGATGAAGCAGCCACTATCGCAAATGGACTTTTGCAATTTATACGTGTGTACTTCCTGCAAGCGCACTTGGCATATGAGGCCAATCAGAGTATGTTCTCATGCATACCGAAGCTGCACGCCATTCACGAGATTTGGGCAGAGATGACAAGACAAATGGAATTGAGCGAGTGGACCCTGAACCCTGCGTGTGAAACATGCAGTGTTGACGAGGACTTCGTTGGCAGGACAGCGCTGCTGTCAAGGCGGGTCAGCCCCCGCCTAGTTTCACAAAGGGCAATACAGCGCTACTTAGCCCAGATCAATGTGATGTGGGCACACCGTTGAGGAAAAAGAGGCTGGACAGGCTGGAAGGGGGCAGGCCATGTGGGAGGAAAACCTGTGGACATAATGCATTTTGGAGGCATATTTGCACTCTGAAAGCCACTGCCATGACGAACGTTAAAAACCGTTCAGGAACGTTAATTCCCGTTCCAGACGATAATGTCCGTGCAAGATGCCAAATAAATACAATTGTGCAAATAGAAGAGTAATTATTGTTCTGCAGGTGCTGCAGGTACCACATACTGGATTGCCAGAATATTCTTGTTGGAGGCAAAGTTTGCACAAGGATTGCCAGGCAATACTTGCAGCTGAAACTGATGTGAAAAACAAGAAATATCCCTGTGTGGATGGTTCGCTTCAAAGATCTTCAAAGCATGCATTTAACAAAGCATTGGAAGTCATGTCTTCAAAGCTTTAGCTGGAGTGAAAGCACATTGAAGGACCTTCTTTCGCCCCAGAATCTGCAGATGTCCAAGTCCAAGCAACCATTGCTGGAGTCTTCCATATTGTTTCTCACTGAGCCACGACCGGCGCAAAGCTGTGCACGCGGCCATGCTGAACATGTCAACGATATGTTGAAGCCCCAAGACTTTGAGCAGCACTGGTATTGAGATGTTTGGAGTGGTTGGAGGGCTTGAAGAGTTCAGCTGAGCAGAATCGTGGGGCTCCACTTCCAACACATACAGTGTCACGGTGGCCCACGTGTGGCACAGGCTGGGTTTAGTCAGCTTCTTGGGCTTTTGAGCTTTGATTGTAATGGAATTATATGAACATAGTACATGACCGCTGCAAGTCCTGTTGCCTTTTCCCACCCCAGGGGCATCTCTCTGTTTTTTTCACCTGATTCACCTGATGTTCACAGATGTTCTTTTTCTCTTGTGGCCCGTTTTCGCAACCGCTGGCCGCGCCAGTCGGAGCCCGTCCGAGGTACTCTTCGTTGCAGTCGGATCTCAGCACGAAGATCCCGCGGCTGAAAGCCATGCTGAGAACCCTGCAGCGGCAAATGGAGAAAGCCAGGTGAGCTGGGCGGGAAAAGCTGAAAGAAGGATAGATTAGAATCATGATGACTTGAGATCCAGGTTAGGATCACATGTTTTGCCTGAACAATGTATGGTGATGGTCCAGTCGGATGAAGCAGCAGCTTGCACCTCCTACTGTAAGCGTTTTCGATCGAAGATACCAGAGTATAGCTAGCATGTAGCTAGCATGAGCATCTAGGGGTCTTCTGGTGTGGTATGTCGGTATAAAGACTCACTCACTTACTGTACTCACTGTCCCTCGCTCCTCGCCGCTCCACTTCACCTCACCTCACCCTCAGTCTTTCTCAATCTCTCTCTCTCTCTCTCGGCGCCGTCCATGCTTTGCAGGTACGAGCTGGATTCGCTGTGTCTTGACATCAATACCAACAGCAGGCGGGGCAGTTGATATTTTGGGTTGCGTGAGGATTTGCAGTATGTCTTGGCGAGCCTCGGGCAGATTCTTTTTGCATGTAGAAATGACTCTGGGTGATTAGCGCCCTGCAAAGGGTTGTACAAAGGAAATGTTTAAGGGAATGAAGGGGCAATCGTTGTCAATGTGTATCAAAATTAAGGAAATGTTGAAGCTGTCCTGGACCGTTGGACTTCTTCACCCCACCACAAACACTTTGTTTTGTACGCTGATTGCGACGGATGGTCTACTTGAGAATCTTGAGAGCCCGAGTTGAAGCAGAGGGCGTTTCCCCAAAAGCTCCAAAACTTGGCATCGAAGAACAGTGGGAGAGAAGCCACGCTAGATACTCCCCCCATTCGTTTCGGAAAGAGTATGGGAAAGGATTCTGGTGGTGAATGAGGCTTGAATTGACCATAGTCCCTAGCATTGTACATACAACGGTTACGGCTGACAAAGGATTTGTCAAGCAACGCCCGCGAAGTCGAAGCGAATCTTCCCCGCCTTTTTCGGTCAAGCCGAAGCGGCCGCTGCTTCTCCCCGTCCTGGGACAGGTCGGGCCGAACCACTGAATGGAGTCGCGACACGCTGCGCAGCCGAGTGGTGCGCATTGCCCGGCGTGGGCAAGAGCAGCTTCTTTGGAAGGAGGGCTGTGTGGAAGGTCACAGTGCGAAGGTGTCCTGGTAACACCATGTAAGGCCGAGGTGGCGAGCTTTCCAACAACTCAGGCACTGCAAACAGACTACTGTTAAGGAGTCAGACATTCAGACATGTATTCCCCCGAGTTCCGAAGATAGCAGCCACCAGACGTCCTCAATGGTCAAAATCAGTCAAAACCCTTTGTGAGTTGCTTTGTGAACTTGGGAGGGTAGGGGTGTCATGGGGTGTCTATACTTTATGTATTTTTGGTTGAAGACCATTATATCCTGCAGATTGTCCCATTGTTTTCGTGCAGATATTCTCAAGACTCGCCAAAACTGGCATCATTGTTTGTACAGATCGGGTCTTATGAGCGGGACAGGAAGAGATTGGGGCATTGCCATCAGGTTTAATCTGGCACCTCCGGTTCAACCAGTTCAAAGTTTGTGCAGGGCAGTCGGTCCATCAAGCTTAGGACTGGATATAGCATTATACGTTTGGCATTTCAATGGATACAGGTTCAGTTCAGTTCTTTCTCCTTGCACTTAGTTGAATTGAACTCAAGATGTTAACACTCCAATCAGCTGTGCAGGCTTCAGAGAAAGTTTTGGAGAACAGGGACCGTCGACCAGATCAACGGCACGGAGACTGTTTGGGAGAAAGCGGTTTGGAGGGGTGTTAATGGATGTGTGACCACACTCAACTCTAATGGCTTTTTTGTTGTTGCTGTGGTTTAACCGCAAGAAAACACTCCACCTCACAGGCCAGGTATCCAAGTCTTCTGAAAAAAGGTCGATGATGGGCCTTGGGCAAAAACCGTGCCCCAGGCATTTTCAGAATCATCCTTTCTTTAAGTGGACTGACGCCCACGAGATGAAGGCGCGAGTTTGTTGGTTTGTTTGCTTTTTTTTGGGGGGGTGGCGGCGAATGACAAATTGGTTTGGTGGGGAGTTGCAGTGTTTGTTTTGACAAAACGTAACATGACAACACTTTTTGGTTCGCTTGGTGTGGCATCTCCCTTTGATGCAGAGATGCATTCCAAGTCAGCTTGAGTTCTTGTCAAAGAGCATTGAACGTTATGGCGGGTAGCCTTGACGGAGAGCACACCCAAGCGTGTACCCTTTCAGTGCATCCCCATGCCAGTCACCCCGGCTAATTGTAGATACAGTATATGTTAGGGATGCTCTACCACAGACCGCCGCTGTTCCGTTCGGACGTGTATGCGAGCGTTCGCAACGACCTGCAGATGGTGAACGTTGGTAGAGTTTCAGGACCTATTACGTTTGATCATGTTTGATAGCATTATATAGGGACTTGGAAGCATCATCCAGCCATGATTCTTGGAAGACCAAAAGCATGGAGGTGTCACCAGAATCGATGCAACCGGCAAGGCGGTGCTTGGTCAGGCAGGCATTCTGGAGGAGACCTGCCGGAGGCCCTAGAAAAAGCTAGAAAATAGTAGGACTCGATTGTCAGCACCTGCAAGTAGATACACCTGATTCTGATAGGTTTTCAGTATGAGCCGTGCAAAGTGTCTGTGTTCCAGGATTCCACTAGTGTGAGTACGGAGTACTCCATGCACCCCCAAAATCAGATGGGGTACTACAGATGTTTGCCTTCAACAGGCTTCCAAACATCCAAATGTTCGAAGCGGCTACCTAAGGCGCAAGGCCTCCGGAACGGGAGGCAGAGGAGCCGGAGGACGGCCGCCGGCGGCAGTTCCGGGAGCCAGGCAGATGGGGCAGGGAGAGGTGGAAGAGCTGGCAGTTGGGAGAAGAGCTTTTACTGAGAATGGGGAAGAGGGTGTGCCTGAAAGTGAATAATTCTGAATCCAAGCAGATCCAGTGCATGACAGCACCCTGAGGTTACACGAATTGAACAGCAGTTGAGAGGTAGTTGAGTGTTGAATATCGTTGGATTGGGTAGACGTGTCATTGGAGATGCAACACGGCAGAGTTGACACCAGTTGGCACATATATGTTTTGGCGTTGTTCTGGAACCACTGTATGTGTTTGGGGCAATCGACACACTTCTGTCAGTCAATCGCCTCAAGAGCCAAGGTTCTGCATCCAGCACCTGCGCTCGAGTGATCTTTGCAGGACGCAAAAGGAATGAAGGATATCATCAATTCGTCGAACCTTTAAGAGCTTCGCTAGCTCTGAATCTCGGAAGGATTGCAGCATATTACATATGATACTACTGTACAAGCATCAGTTTATGGACGAGACAAGATTGGGACCTTTTTTGGCTGGATACTGAAGGTTCCGTTCTTTCTGACCCTCCTAGACAATCTAACCTGATGCTCCACAGGTACAGGCATTGTCACTATATATGCTAACATGCTAGCTGCTAGCTTTTACTATTTTAGAGTTCTTCAGGCATTCAGCCATTCATGAAAGCAAGAAGTTTCAACCTCTAATTACAAGATCTTTGCTGTGTCCCACATTGTCCCACTCTCGATACTGCGAACATCCTCCGCTGTTGCAGTTCACCACGGCAGGACGCCATGGCTACCCACCCGTCCAGCTTTGGTTCCCTGAGGCCAGTGGGCTCGTCTCGCCGGCGGGGGGTCGTCTCGTTTGGGCTTGTGGTCCCACGCGTAAAATCCCACGAGGCCTCGGATTTTGTTTGGGTGTTTGGTGAGTTCTGGACCAACGGTGACAAGGCCAAGAAGAATCATGTGGGGTGACTGAGGTGATATCGAAACACTTGGATTATGAAGGTGAACATGATGTTTCTGAAAGGTTTTGGCTCGTTTGCTTTATGATTCATGATGCTAATAGTTGTCCCGGTCTTCTACTTGATTTTACATAGGGTTGTGCTTCTTGGAATTTCAGGGCAGGCCACCCATGATGTCCAAGAATCCTGGTATATATTTTCGAGCCCATGCAACTATATACATCTCAGGACAGATCCGCAGCAGAGCTCGGGGATTGAATTGGAGTCTGTCTCCTCACCTGGTGGTTACCAACACCCAGCCGGATGGAATCTATATAACTAAGCTCTACGACTACGAGGAAAAATGACAAAGCGCTGCGTACAGCGCAGTGCGTACATACCTTTCTGATCCTTTCAGAAGACCCTTGAAACCTGGCTTGAACTTTGACCCTCTAAACACCACCCCTTTCTCCAGATTGCCCCTCCTTTTTCTCCATCCCTACAAAATTAAAACCTCTTTTCGCGCAGAGCAGCGCCAAGTCGCTGCTTCATCGCTGCTTCTTTCGTGGATCACCAGGAGGCCCTGGAGGACGTGACACCTCATCCTCGCCTCCGGGAGCTCTTGACCACCTTCGAAAAGGCGGAGATCGCTCCTCGGTGGCGGTCGGTGGCGGGTGAACAACGGGGTGCAAAGAACGGAGCACTGCCGCATGCAACCTTCCAGGGCACCATGGCATACCATGGCACCATGTTTCTTTTTCCAGAATTTGGAAGAGTTGGAAGATGAAGGGCTGGAAAAGATTCTCAGGATGGGCAAGTTCATTTCATATATAAGGTATAACCCAGCCGTGTTGTAATTTGCTTCGCATGTCCATTTTGCCACTGTAAAATGATAAGGATGAAAAAAACAATAACCCTGCACAAGTCCCCGGACAGGGACAACCCTTCATATATGTGTTTCATCTCAGGCTTGTCTCCCCCACACCCAGAACGAGGAGTGTTGTGTTACAGAATTATTGTTTGGGCATAGAAATCGATGTTTGCACCAGGCATGAAAACAACAAAAACAACACGATAACACAGTGAGCCTAAAACACCATCCTGCAGCCTGCAGACTCATAATTACACACAATTAATGGCACACATGTACCAGCTGTTCTAGTTTGGAGCCAACTGCGCACGGCACAGATGCATGATGATGCATGCATTGCACTACAAATGTTGCAGCCAGTCAAAGCACCACAAAACAAGAAGGGGATATACACGATAACGTTAATTAACGCCACAGCTCTTGAATGTTTGTGACAGCGCTTTTTTAATGACACACACACACACACCACCCAAACGCTGAATGGCTTAGTGGTGATGTCCACTTCTTTGGACACCCATGGGCGGTGACTTGTCGATGCCGCATGGGCTCGGAGCGAGTCGCCCCCGAGGCTTTCCAGCAGAAGCAAGCGCAACTGGATGCGACGGTGAAAGCCTTTGCGGCGCAACAACAGCAGTGGATGGACTAAACGTCTTCACTCCGTGCGTTTTCAAACGGCACGGGTTGCAAGTTCCACACACTGAACAGTCGGAACGCAGGAGTAGATCGATCGTCGAACAGTGGGGCAATTGGTGGGATAGTGGTAGGAGTCAGAGACATCTTGTGAAAATCCAAGAAAAACAACCTGTTCTGTGGCAGTGTCATTGTTCAGTCATGCCCGCATGCCCCTTTTTGTTCCAAGCTTTCGCTTATATACATGATTTAGATTTCCTGCTCATTTGGAGTTGCTGCAGTTGATACTTGATTTGAATTTGGTCGAGACAGTCTTCCCACAGCCAAGCACCAACACAATGAACTCCATCAGTGATGTCAATCTGTGACATTCTGTGGGAGGTTCTCTTTGCTTGCTTAACTTAACTGTATGTCCAGAACCTTTTAATCTGAAGCTTGTAGACCCGCGTGGTCTTCACAGGTTTCCTGTGCCGACGGGGCTGATGGTGCCATCCAGCTCTTGAGTGGCTGGATGATACCCAATACCATCCCGCAACTCTTTTGTCCCACTTGTACAGTTAGAGGGCATGACTTGCGCAAAAAGAGTTGGCTATCACGTTCGTGCGTCCGAGTAGACATGCGGAGTAGTCCATTTGAACCTCAAAGAAGGATGTATGACATATGGATTGTATTGGAGAATATGTGCCGCAAACCACCCCAGATTCGTGAGAGGGTGGCCAGATGTGGTTGTAAATCCTGTTGCCTCCAGATGCCTCCAGTGGACGCAGGATTTCTTCCCAGTGATTGAAGAGTTTTGTAGCGACCAATCTTCACCCGAAAGTTTTGGACGTTCTTCGACAAGTCCATCTCCACATTGGACGTCATGTCCATGCGCAGCTGAGTGTTCGAGTCGTAGACGGCCTTTTACTGATGTTTGTTACCAGGAGACCCGAGGGTGGTGGGATGCCAAGCTGTTTGAACAAGCCACCCCAACCAGGGTCCACACACCATCCCTGGAGTCTCCTGGGTCGTGTTTTGGACGGCGCAAAACCTTTCGAGGTCAGCTTCGTGCGGTTTGTTTCACCCAAACTGCGGGAAACTGCGGAGCGATCCCGATTGGCAGGATCCCTCGATCGTCCCTGATCCATATCTCCAATAGTTTATCATTATATATCTACAGTATTTGGCATGTCCATTCCCCAAAACAACCCAAGCAAGAATCCTGAAAATCACTTCAACACCCAAGTGAAAAAGGAGGTCATGCCTTTTTCTCCCAAACATCGAGGCGGATCAGGCTCTTCCGAGAGATGGTGCAGAAGGCGGTAGGCCTTTGGCAGGACTGGGCGATAGGCCTTTGGCCAAGCTGGGCGGATTCGCTGGGCTTGGCTTGGGGAGTTTGTTTAGAGCCTTGGCATGGTCTTACAGGTTGTGGACCGGCTGTTCTGGTCGGCTGGGATGCAAGCGGTGTGTTGATTCACGGTGTCCTGTCCTGTGGGTGGTTCGATTCACGGCATGTGTTCTTCCCGATCGGACAGGTCTATATGAAGCGCTAAGCCACGGGCCATGAAGAATCATGCAGATTTAGATGCAACACATTTCTATGAAGGGCTATGCTGTGCTTCCCATATATAGTTACTAATGATACCATCCGCCATTACCTTCAATTCGACACCTTGAATATATAACTAAAAGCCTTGCGACCAAAAGTCACCCGCTCTCCGCCCAACGGCCTGTCGTCCCAAAGCTGCGTTGTTGTTTTGGGTGCCTTTGAAGGCTTGCTATGATGATACCTCGCCGTGATGGCGTCAACTTGGTCCCCCCAATCTCCATGGACAGTGATCACAGTGGGTATTCCAATGGCTTTTCCAGCAATTTATCAGGTGGTGCCACCACCTGTGCCTACCCGACATTGGATCCCGGATCACTGCGAGGAGAGACTGCTTGATGATACTCCGAGCCCGAAGACTCAGCTGCTGAGGGGTAGACTCCGCCGATCCAAGCAGAAACTCGCGCAGGTGTTCTTTTTTTAAAGGGACGGGAGGGCGGGAGGGACATGAGGAGCCTATGGGGTGATTGGTCATGAACGACATGGAACGTGGATGAACATGGAAGCCTTCAGTTTCCCCCCGAGGATCTGTGGTCATGAAACTGGAACCGAACGCCAGGCGCTTTGAAGGTTTGACAGGTACCAAACCCTCCCCCTTGAGAGCTGTTGATGTTGATTCACCAGAAGAACATGTTTTTGTTGTGTGTTCTTGTTCAGGGTATCAAGCACGGCAGCAGGTCGCTCCTCAGACTGGTAACTCACTGCCGACTGCCGGCCAGGTCTAACTCGCAGTGCCTGCACCTCAGCTCTTCGGGCCCCAGATCGATTGCTGACGACGCTGTTTTCTGAGCGGCTTGGGTCACAAGATTGGTCGATGATCCCAATCCCAATGACTCAAACCCAATAGACACCCGTTTCGGGTATGTTGCAACCATTCACATTAAGGTAAGATAAGGCAAGGTAAGGTCTACTTTCCCGCAACATGTGTTTAAGCTGGAAACTATTTGATGCAACATGCTTATACCCAGACTTTGCATGTATAACCATATTTGCCTGCCTTGGGGGTGGTTTGGGGGTCATTGTAGGCATAGATTCTATACATGGAGTGATTGGGATCGTGAATCCAAACAGAATATGAGACAACAAACAGTTCTTCCCTGCAATGGTCAGAATCAGCACTTCTGCATGCACATAGTTATAGTTATAGTTTCCTGTGTCTCATGCAGTGTATGCGAACAGTTACAATCGTTGACGAAAGTCTGAGGATGTTGCGTGCGTGTTTGCTCCTTTTGCAGCCCAGTGGACTCAGGAACCCGTCTTCCTTAGAAAGTTAGACCCAGTCATTTGTCCGTATTTCAGGAGGTTCTATACACCGATCTAAATCGGAGAATTTCAGGAATCGATTCACAAGACATCGACAGATTTCCTTGAACCTCCTTGGAGCTGAGCACGTTCTTTTTGAACTTTCCATTCCGGTCGCAGATATGGTCCCAAATGGATGAAATTGTTTGGGTTCAGTTTTCTTTGGTTGAAGCCACAACAAATGCGCTGCCCCTCCTCCAAAATTAGAGCTGGCCACCGCCAAAGTGAGCAATGCCCAACCTCGAAGAGGGAGCAGACCTGGAGACCAGGCACTTGTTGCCCACACCGCTGGGAAATGCTGTTGAAAAAGACTCCGAGGGCAATGAAGGAACGAGCCAAGAGCGATTCGAGCGCGTCACGAGCAGTTTTCGTGACTTCAGTCTTCAGCGCTGCTGTCAATGCTTGTTGGGGCCGGTCTTTGGATGGCTTGGTTTCAGCTTTTTAGACACTTGGTGGCCTCAGAGACATCTCAGCCCGGCAGAATGGGCTCTCTATCATCGGCAGCAGAAGCATAAGAAGGATTTGGCATGCATTGCACGAGCCATGACGGGAATTCCCGTCTCACCGGAGCTGCTGCGATCTGCCATGCTTTCTTTTGCTGGAAGCGATCAGAGTGTCGATTTGTCCTTCGCGGAGCTGAATGCCATGTTCTACTTTGCTGGATGCCACAACGACGCGAAGTCTGCGTTTCTCGCGTTCGTGCGAACTCTGCGGTCACCAACGGAAATGCAGGGGGTCTCCGATTCTTGCAGGCGGTTGAAGGCTGTTTTCTACTCTATTGGGAGTTTTTTTGTAAAACAATACGGGTTTCTTTGAGCTGTTCACTTTCAATTGCAATCCTGTGGTTTTCTCTTGAAAGATCAGAACACTAAATGGTAGATGTTGCCTTACTTCACAATGTCAAAGAGTGAATATTGTAATATATTGCAATATATATATATACACAACATAAATGGATGTGGGTATATATGTATAACATACTATACTATTACTATTAAAGGCATCAATCCGAGCACTTCTTCCTCACTTTGCCCTTTCGAAAAGTCCAGGATCGTGTGGCTCTGGAAGATCTGCTCGAAGCCTTTGCTCGGTGGCCTTCGCACCGCTCGGCGGTGGCCTCTGCAGGCGCCTGAGGTCGCCAGATCCGGCCTGGTCTCCGACGTGTTCGTCTTGTGTCGCAGATGACTGGCTTCTTTGGTGATGGTGTAAGTGTGGCCCAGTTGAGAATGAGGGTCCCTTTTGATTCTACCTTTGTGCCTGGTCAGGATTGCAGGCAAGAAGTCACAAGCTCTCAGCACTCGGAATATGTCCATGGAGTTGCCTTCTGAACAGCTTGGCCTGGATGGTGACCACATCTGGAGATATAGATCTCGTCGCGGTGTTGGACAAACATCTGTGACGGGCAGAAAGGGCGATGATCAAAGACTTTGGAGTGCTGAGCATGTCATCCTGGGATATCTGGGTATATATAGATGTTTCTTTCACCCAAAAAGAATCCGAAGAGAGAATGATCAACGATTCCCAAAAGATGCTTAACAGAGTCATAGGTTTGAGGTCTAATGTGATCATTTTGATTTGCTGTCATTCACTTGAGAGATGCACAAGCTGCAGAGTCTTAATGAGCTTGGCTACCATTGTTTAAGTTTAAGAACTAAATCTGCATTGACTTGCCAAGTGAATGGAGATGACAAGGGTGAAGCAGAACCATTCACTAATCATTCCATTTACTCCAGACTCTTTCAGAATGTGCGTGGCATGACCTGGAAGAATCAGATTCCAACTCATTTGTGTGGAGTTAACCTTCCCAAATGAATTTCAGTATGGCGTCTCACGTTTTTTGTCATGATGGATTTGTTTGCTCTCAACGGAGTGATTTTTTGAAGAAAAACTGCTAAACATCGGAACTTTGCTACTAGGAGCAAGTGCCTTACTAGTAGTAACAAGTGCATCGCTAGTAGTAACAAGTGCCTTACTAGTAGTAACAAGAAGCTATTAGGAACAAGCGCATGTTAACTTGAAGCAACACAAATCCCGGATGAATAACCCAGTTCTTGTAGGATCGTGGACCATAGCCATCCTCTATATGTTTGTTTCCATGATTGAAGAAACGGGTTTCTGGAAAACGGGATTGTGGCGGGGGCTAAACGTTTGTCTATAGGTCTCGGGAGTCCTTGTCCTGGTGCAATGCTAGGCCACAGCAGACTGCGAAGGCCGCCCAGTAGAGAAGGACAGAAGAAGCGGCGAAATGGAAAGCATTTGGATCGTGTGGATTGACATAGTGAGTCCTCCAACCAATATGTGGTTGTATGTTTTGGTCAAGTTTTCGTTCTTCCAAGGGGTGTTTGGGAGGTCTACACATACCCATATGATGAACGACCTTCGATCCGGAGACCGTGTCCGGAGTTGAAGCTGGCTACTGCAATGAGTAAAGAATCCGTCCATGCCATGTCAAGGGAATGCTGCCTGGGCAGTTGTTTAGCTTAGATTGCCCAGATGCTTTTTACACAGTTGTGCTGCGGTTGTGCTACAGTCTCAGTGTGTTTCATAATACACGTTTCAGCTTTTTGCTGCTTCGCAGGAGAACAGCAGAAAGTGTTCACTTGGGTACTTCGGGTTGCTTGTATCTTCAACATGTTTTTGACTTGATATGTGCGAGTCGAAACTGCAGAGGAACTTGTTGGCGTTTGTCAGGGATATTTCAGAAAAGACACAAGTAGCTCAGCTAGCTATGTCATCTAGTCAATCCCTTCTATGTGAGTTTGTTTTTTGCTTTTGTTGCAGGACAAGCCACCTCCCAGACATAGCTGGGACGGCAGGAGGGATTTGCATCGGGGCCGAGTCAGAGCAGACTGGCGTGTGTCCCAACAGCAAGTGCTGGCAGTGCAACCAACAGGTTTACAATGGTTTACACATGCATACTCTAGTTGGGGCTGAGGTACAAGCAGGCCTTTTGTTTGTATCAGTGAAATGAAGTTTACGAAAGCCAGCCTTCGTAGAAGGCGCTAGCGGAGTTGTGTTTGGCGAACGAAGTGAGTAGTTAGGGGGTCTGGGGGGGGGTGGCCCGGGAAAGGTACACGTAAACTCGGCACATGCCGAGGGAAGGTTCTTTGAGGTTGTGTTGGAGGTGATCTTTGAGGGGTGGTGATGCAAGAAATGCAATCTGCATCATTTGCATCATCTGAATGGACAGGTGTAGTTGGCACCTTGCCAGGTATAGAGACCCAGGTAGCTATAGTGCAGCTACCAGGTATAGTACTTCAAGTTCCCTTTCCGTGCTCGATAACCTCTACGCACGCACAGCAATCCACAGCTTTGAAGTCTCATTCGTGCTTTGAACTTGTA